ATAGTACTAATCAGAAAGTATGGCATTTATAGTATCTTAATGGCATGCACCCAAAATAGATTCTAGTTATATCAGCAAGTTGACAAGCTCACAGGGTACAGATAACTCTTGTAATTAATTTCTAAAAGTCACAGGAACTGTAAAGTTGGTGTGGGTGGAGTTCACTTTTTTATTGAAATAATAAAGTGCTGGAATCACATTTACCCTGGCATTATTATAGACTTACTTGAAAGTAAATTAAATCAGAATTTGGCTTCCCAACACTGTTAGGATAAAACTGCTAATTTTCCTCTCTTATGCTAATGATTCTGAGAAGTATGGGCTCTAATTAGAACATGAATAGAGAACACATTGTGACCTGCTGGTTCTTGAGGTCTAATGAGTGTAACTTTCTGAGGTACATCCATTCTAAATCACTTCCTTAAATAGGTCACATCACTCACTATGCTGGTACCACGCATTCATTAGAGAAGCCCAGGACAGTAATTCCTATAATTAAAGTTACCCAACATTTTCATGATAAAAACATGTTCTTAATTTCTTATAGGTTTAACAGGCATTAAGACTCGGAAGTAAAATTTTCTGTAATGGATATCTGTATCAGAAAAAGGACCTAAATTAAAAATGTAATTATTGTTTTTTAGGTACTCATATAGTGCGTAATTACTCTCACACATTTTCAATATTAGTGTTTGGCTTAGATTGTAGGACATGTCTGCTTTGGGACAGGAACTTAATTCCATAAAGCCTGGAGCGAAATCAGCCATATTGTATATCCCTGAAAATCATAGTTTTTGTGTGAATAGAGACATGCTAATGCTTTTGGCTAAATTCTCTGTGAATTCTCAGCACCAAATGTTCTCCAAAGAAGAGGTACAGACAAGGTGTAGACCCCTGCACAGACTCAGGCTGCCATGTGGACATCATGCAGCTGCCAGCACTAGTGCTGTTAAGTTGCCAGCGGGCATGCACTGAAAAAATCTTCAAAGCTGTTCAAAGTTTGAGGTCACGATCAGAGGATATGCTAAAATCAGCTTTAAGTCAGCTGGGCTCAAGTAAAAATTGTTGCAGCCTAATGACCAGAGTTTGAGTAGCCTGCGGCTGGCTCTAATTTAGCAGTGTTGGTGCTCTCTGTTGCGTGCTGTGACATCAGGTGTTCCAGGCCCTGAACCAAAGGCCTGCCTGCTACTTTCTCCTTACTTTCTGTCCTACCCACTCACATTCCAGGGTCTGGGTAGGTGATCTGTGGTGTCAGACCCCATAGGTCTTCATAGGATCCCATTAGGTGCTTCCTGGATATTTTCTTGGCTGTTGTTAGTGGTCAAAAGTTGCATTCAGTCTATAAAAAGTTGTATTTAGTCTCCAGCTGCAGCTGTGGCTGTACCCATCATGATGAAAATCCTGTTCCGCTCAAAATTTTATGCAAAGGGCATTGAGGTTGTTGGGCATTTCACAGCTGCCTTGTGAACAGGATGTTTGAGACAGTGATGATAGCCCAGTCCTCTCAAAGCTTTTCCTCTTCAGGGAGCAAATGTGATGGTGCTTACTGAAGAGCTGACAGCTCAACCTCGTTTTTTAGCCTCCTTACAGAGACTGTGTATCTGGCTTTGCATTCAAATACTTTGTATTCACACTCTGCACCAAACACGAAATAATTAATTATTAATATCCTAAAATAATTTTCTCTGCTATGCCTCCTTTATTTTGTGTCTTGGATACTCTCCAGAATTTAGACAATCTAATTACTAGATTTTTTTCTAGACAAACAATAATTTTCTCTTTCCCTCACTTAGCTCCAGAAAGGAGAGTTTTCTGCTGAGATGTAACCCAAACATTTCTGAAGCCTTGCTATGTGTCCCCCAGGTATCTGTGGATACCACAGCCAGAGCCTCACCCTCATGGAAAACAGGGATGACTTGCTCAGGACCATGTAGCTTATTGACTAGTAGCAAGTTTATTTAAGCCAGGAAAGGATGACAGGACCCATCTTGGGTGAAAAGCAATACTCTTAACGGTATTTTTCTTCTGAATTAGTAGGCAAAGAGTAAAAGGTCCTGTGCAGGGCCAGGAGTTGAACTGATAATCCTGGTGGGTCCCTTCCAGCTCAGGGTATTCCGTGAGCCAATGTTCAGGCCGGCAGCGCCCCAGAGCAGCCGCGGCACCGGCAACCTTTCAGCTCACGGCCCGCTCGGCTGGGCCCTGCGGCCACGGAGGAGGAGAGCAGAGAGACGGAGACAGGAGGGCCGACACACGGGGATGGCGACTGAGCCGCCCGGCAGAGGCCGCGGGGCCCAGGACGGACCGGGCGGGACCATGAGGGGACGGGGCGGGGCCTCCCCCCGCGCACGCGCGGAGCCGCCCCGGAGCCGCCGTACATCGGCGCGTGCGCAGCGCGCGGGGCGCGCGGTGCATTGTGGGCGCGGTCGCGGCAGGAAGATGGCGGACCTGGCGAACGAAGGTAGGCGGGAGTTGTGGCCGCCGCTCCCCGGCCCGCACCGACCCCCCCAACCCCCCCGGCCCCCCGACTCCGTCCTGCGGTCCGCGCTCAGCGCCGCGCCCGGGCACGGGCCCGTTCTCGGGAGCGTCTTCTCCCCGCGGCCGCCTCGCCCCCCGCGGGCCGAGTGGCCGGACAAAGGGAGCGCCCGGCGGGGCCGCCGCGCTGTCCGCGGGGCGGGGGCCGGGCCAGGTTGGCCCGCAGGTGCCTCCCACTGGGCGGTGGCCCCCCAGGGGCGGGACGGCGCTCCCTGGGCGCGGACGGCGGGCCCGGTGCCGGGCACGGGCCCCCGGGGGGGGTCGGAGCCGCTTTGGGCCCCGCCTTGTCCAGGTGCTTTCAGGAGTCATTGTCCACAACTTTCGCTCTGCCGTAAACCTTTACTTCGCTTACACTCTTGTTAATCCTTTCTCCAGCTAAGAGAATAATAGAAGCGGTTATATAAAACGAGGTGAGGTATCGTAACAGATGTATTATTTTTTTGAGCTGAAAATATCAAAAATCTGTTAGTAAAGTGGTTGGATTTTTTTTTCTGAAGAGGATGAGGAGAACCTGGGCTGCAGTACTGCAGGATTTGGGTATTCTGGCCCAAGGTGTGTACAGTGATGTTTCAGGTGTCAGTGGGCATCTGTAGTTTGCCTTTGGAAATGACCAATATCCTTCAGTGTTTCTGCAAACGCCAGTTTGCCCTGGCTGTCTCTGTTTCTTGTTCTTCTCAGGTAATGCAAGAGGGGAAGAAATGCCTCGAGGGAGGTGAATGAAGAGGTGCAAGGCCCCTTTTTCAAGACTGTTTCTTACATTTGAAGTGTGCATCAGTGGCAGTTACAGTTCTGATATTAATATTAAAAATAGGAAGGAAATATTTGCTGTAGGTACAGCCTTTGAAGTCGAGGCCTTCAAGCAGCTGACAATACAGCTGCAGTTAAGTTATTTGACAGATCCTGTGATGCAGCATGTTGGCTTCAAGATGAGCTGTCAGTGCCCAGGGAGGCATGATAAGTGGTCTCAAGAATGATCTTAATGACAGTATTTACGTACTGTCGTTATAATGACCTTATAATGATTTTTGATGGGTTATTATATTCTTTTAGAACTAGAAGCTTGGGAATAACTGTTTTATGTCATACAAGCCCCTGACTTTACCTCCCCTTTCTACTGGGGAACATTAGGCTCACCAGTGCATACCAGGTTACCAACACTTATTGCATCTTTTGATGCCAAATTAAATATTTCTGCCCTTACCTCTATTTCTTCAGGGTCTTGTCTGGATGGCAGGGGGGGAGTGTGATCCCATCCTTACATTTTCATCTGAACCTTTTCTCTTCAGACCCTTTTCTTCCTCCAGTGACTTCCCTCACTTTCTGATCCTTTTAGTTTATATTTGCATCTCCTTCCCTAGTTGTCATCTTCATCCTTTTTGTTCTGTTTCTTCTTGCAATAGGAACGTGATACAATCTTTTGTAACATTAAGCAGGATGAGCTCACTTTGGAACTTTTGTCTTCTGCTCTTCTAATATCATCGGCTGTTGTTAGTTTTTTTTCCTCCAGTTCCATTTTTGAGGCATATGTTCTTTCTGTAACAGTGGAAGTACATGCATTTTCTGGAATTGGCATCTTTCTGCTGAGGCTCGCTGAATTCTGTAGTCTTTCTACTCACCTTGGTTGCAGTCTGTCATGTCTGTCGTGGTGAGGGTCTTCTCAGGTGACTGTTCTTGCCATTCCTAAACACTTCAATTTGTTTTATTTTTCCATTGTTGTCGGTGAATGCTTCACTTGCTTGTGTCCAGGTATTTTCATTTGAATATATGAAGTAACTATTTTGCTGCTGATAGCAAAGTATTTTGCTAAAATATTCCTTGATCTTCTGATTCGTATTGGTCTCAGGTCTGAAGTATTTGATAGCTAAATGTTCATGTTCACAAACCAAGTGTGGTTACAGCAAAGCTCTTAATGTTCCTTAATCTTGATTGATCTGTACAACAGAGCTATCTCAATCATACTTCACTGTGAGGTGTGAAGCTAATTATTCTTTGACACACAGTAGACACGAGTACCTAGAAAGAGGCTTCAGCCATTCTTTCAAACTGTGTAGTATGTTTACTTTTCTTGTCTGTTCATGCAGGTGAAACTCAGTCTTACCCATCTGATTACTTCAGCAAACCTTCTTCTGCCCTTAAAAAGTTCTGGGGTTTGTGCTGTCTGTGTCCTCTCATTTTACTAATGCAAAGCTTTTTTAACCATTTTTTTTTCCATGACACCCCTTTGTTTCAATTTGTTAATTGGTCTTTCTGTTTTCAACAGTATATTAGTTATCTTTACCTTCTAAGTTGATATCTCTTAATACTATGGAATGTCTTAAATCACTGCTGAGCTGTCAGTACTGCCTCCAAATAATCATTCCACTAATGTCCTTACGACTTCAACCTATTTTAATGGATGGTCTTTCTGTGATAGCTTTCTTCAGCGCTACAAAAGCATTTCCTCTAATGTGTTCATAACTACTTTATTTTTTTCATTCTAATTGTTCCTTGAATTTTTTCCATTCACTTGTCTTTCCTTTTTCTCTAGTGAGTTGGTGAAACTGTTCCCCTACCTCTTTTTAGTGGAGTGATGGCCAGCTGTATCTTGACAGAAGAAGGTTGTTGGCTTAAGGGGGTCCTCTACTGCAGAGAAGGGGGGTGAAGGATCCTAGTACCACTTTCCAAAGACTCTTGTACTGTGAAGTTTCATAGGAACAGATCCTGATCTTGGTATTGCCCCTCATGATGAGAGGAGATCAGCTGATAAGTGTGGAGCTAATGAAGAGGAGAGAGTAACTTCTCCCCATCCGTGTGAAGTTTGATCGACTTCATTGCAAAGATTTAGTGACACTTGGGACTGTCATTGTGAGGTTAATTATTGAAAACCAGGATTTTGGAATGGTAGGCATAATTATTGTTACTGCTGTATAAAGTGGTTACTGAATGCTCTTAGAAACTTTCTCTGACTTGTTCTTTGGTGTTCTAGCTGGATCGTGTCTTAAAACTGACACTTCACACATGTGGCAGTGAATTATCAAAGAACCAGCAGCTTCATGTCAGCCCTATAAATTCATGTGAACTCAAATGCTTTTCTCATTAACTTGCCACTAATACACAACTAGTAGTTTGCTTGTCTATAATTTTCTGCTGAAGCTGCACTCTAGCCAACAGAATCTCCTTTTATGGGGAATGAAGTGCTTTATCTTTTCAGTAGCTGAAAGGTGATACAAATTTTTCTCAGGGCTAAAATTTGATGGATGTTTTCAGGATGTGCCTGCAACTTCACTTTATGAGATCATTAAACATACAGTTTATCATCATAATAGTTTTACTGTATGTAACTGCCTTAAATTAATTTAGAGGCTGGAGAGCAGTGCCGGGAAAGGGCCCTGGGGGTGCTGGTGGGTGCCAGTTGTCCCTGAGTCAGCAGTGCCCTGGCAGCCAGGAGGGACATCCCTGTCCCAGGGGGCATTAGGGAGGGGATTGTCCCACCCTGCTCTGCCCTGGTGTGGCAGAGTACATCTTGAGTCCTGAGGTCAGTTAGGGGTATCACAATATAAAAAAGACGTTAAGTTATTGGCATCCAATGGAGAGCTACAAGGGTGAGGGGTCTGTCGGGGAAGCCTTGTCAGGAGTTGCTGAGGTCACTTGGCTTGTTCAGCCTGGAGAAGATGAGATGGAAGTGAGATCTCGTTGTGGTCTTCAACATCTGCCCCTTCCTTCCCCCCCACCCCAGGGCAGCAGAGGGCCAAGTATGAATCTCTTCATTCTCGTGGCCAGTGACAGAACTTGAGGAAGTGGCTGGAGCTGAGTTGGAGGAGGTTTAGGTTGGGTATCAGGAGAAGGTTTTCACCTGGAGTGTGGTTGGGCACTGAACAGGCTCCCCAGAGAAGTGGTCACAGCCCCAAGCCAGTCAGAGTTCAAGAAGCATTTGGACAATACTCTCAAGTCACATGGTGGGATTGTTGGGGTGTCCTGCACAGCACCAGGAGTTGGACTTGGTCATCCTGATGGGTTCCTTCCAGCTCAGCATATTCTTTGATTGTATGAAGTGTACAGAAGATGAGTGATCTGAAGCATTTCCTTTCAGAGTAATCAGTATCATTTCTTTGCCACATTTGGATGATGCTTTTGGAGAAAGGAAGGTGTGTTGTTACTTTGAGGGAAAGGCAGCACTCACTACTCTCTAGAAACAAGACCTTTTTTTTTCCCCATGGTGACTTCAGATAGGTTAGTGGGTAGAATAATTCACACCCAAACACCATAAAGAACTATTTCATTTACAAGACAGAACTATCTAAATGCTTTAATAATTTTTGTTAATGCTTTTTTGGAGTTCTTTATAAATATTGTATCTATGTTGCAAAGTATTTGGGCTCCCTCGGGGTTTTCTTCTTTCTCTCATGTGAAAATAAGCTACTTTTTTCCATTTCGGACTTGTGACATTTGCTTTATATGAAGTTTCTGATCTAAACTTGTAAAATTACCTAATTTTGCAGAGGGTAACTTATTGCTATTAATGCCACAAGGGCTTGGGAAATGAAGTAACACATGCTCTGCAGACACTTAAGATTTGTGCTTTAAATGTGATGTAGGAAAATTTTATTTAATCTTAACTATTAAAGGTAGCTGTGGAAGTAGCCTGCTAACTCATGCTATGGGAGACAAAAAAAAGAACAGTTTGAAGATGAACGAGATCATATGATATTTTACTTCATAGACAGCAACTTATCAAAGTTTTAAAAGTGAGGCAGAAGTATCTCTTTTCCCAGTGTCATTTATATTAACCATGACATCACTTGTGTAGTGTGGCCATAAGTGATCCAGTCACCTGTCTTGTTCTTTCTCACATGAAGTGTAGTTTGACTTTGCTTGTGGGGGTCTTTTTGCAGATCAGCTCTTGGAGTGGCATCTTGGTCTTTCTTTCAGTCTATTTGTAGCTATTGA